AACAATTTAATGTCAATGTCGCAATCCCTATAGGTAATCAAGGAAGGTGTGTATTGGAATCAGTGCGGACTGCAGAGAGAACGGTTATTCGGTCAGAACGATATATTATCTCAACTAAGTGTCGTGTGACTGAAGGGGCCAGTGACGGTCTCTTTTAGAGACCTCATCAGCTTGTCATAATAAGACTATTGAAGCTAGAAATAATTTGATTTGATTTGGAAGACATTGTTGAACGGATGTTAATCTGAAGCATAAAATAGGAATTAATCGGTTACCATATTCTATTTACCATCGGATAGAATCATTTTAGAGAACTGGACTTCTATCTTATGACACTTTAGCATCCCGGCAAACAAGTGGCCAAAACCGATCAATCGTTTGAGCCAATACTCTCACAGTTGTCTTTCGGCAAGTGCGAAAAGAGACAGAGTGTACATCAAAGTGAATCTCAATTCGAATTGGGATACCAACGTTTAGTTCCGGTTCCTGTTTTTAAACAACACAAGCTAATCACAAACCTTTGTATCCACCTCTGTGCTGCTTTCTGCGTACACATTTCTCTGGTGCTGTCACACATAGTTCCAAACATTCTGGGTGTAATACTTCAGACGTTGAAGCATGTAAAGTGTATATACCACTCCAAACAAGTAAATTTTGTATACACGCATCTGTTCAAACACCGAAATTTCCATCTAGGTGTCTAGTTATTCGTTCATCAATAAACTGACACCCAAGCAATTGTTTGAACTTCCCATAAGTCTTATTGTATTGTTTTGTATCGTGTTGTATTGTATTGCATGGTGTATAATTTTTGCAAGCACTGAAGCTTACAGCTCAGTTGAAAACTGCACATGTCAGTAGTCACAAGGAACATTTTCAACAGAGGGAACTGTTAACAAGGTTAAGATACCTTTCAGTTGTTACTCTTTCTTTGTTGGTAGATAACTGTGTAAGATAGATTCCAGGTGAATTTTTGTAAGCATTCATTCAAAACGAATGTTAGTGGAATTGGGGGCGTGTGGAGGCATCGGAACGACAATTTGTTAGTTCTGCATGCAATGAATGGCATAGTTCTGTGAGAATCCTCCCCGTAATTAAGTTTCACACACGAATGTATACGATACTCGGAAAGTTTCACAGCTAAATCACTCAGAGGACTATGGAACAAACGCGGTTAGATCGCGGTGTGAAACATTGAAATCTCGTTTGAGTGAGACAGAAAGAATTCCTGGGGAACAATAAAGTAAAATGGCGATACCATACAGATACACAAAAGTTGGAATAATAGATCGGAATGCGCGAAATTGTCTCATGTACAACTAAGATATGTTGATGGTTTTATTGAGAAGATTCTCAAACAATGCTCGTTGCATCTCTAATCGAAGTGTTTCGGTTCTGCAGCATGGTTGTGCCATGTCGAGCAGTTGTAACTGTGTAATCATTCAGATGCGCATCCTTCTTGAACGACAGTGACCGTTCTAGGAAAATGCCTTGGATTTCAGGAAACCCAGTTTTCCTGGGTTATAAAATTGAGAATGATTCAATAAATAGCTGTTTACTTCCCTATTTTTACGTTTCATTTGGCAAAGCATTAAAGTATTTCACTTACAGTAAGTAATGCAACTTCTCAAATGCCTTGATGTAAATAAACTGTGTAACCAAACCTTCACCAGATGTCTAAAACAGAAGGCAGCAATTGAGTGACGAAACTGGTTTTTTTTCCTGGTCAATTTCTTACTTTATGCTCATATACTCACTGTGGTTTGCAAACTAGCTTGAATGCGTAAGATGTTTGTCATATGCGTTAACTCATATTTGTCAAATATTTCGAGTGAACAGGACCAGTATTCCACACTACACTTTTTCCACTTCGAGAGAATCCGTTGTAACTTCATGTGAATCCAACCAAATCGCATCCCATTGGGAACCCCACAAGATGTTTAGTGTTTGGGCCGTCAAACGTTACCGGTTGAACCGGGTCTGTCTAAACTCAATGCAATCTGAATGAACTCAATTCTTCAAAAACAAACAAAAATATTTTATGAGTGAAGTACCGAGCGAAACGAAGACACGATCACTAATCACAACGGAGAACCCGATACAACAACACAAATAAGGGGAAAAAGAGAGTTTGAAAGTTGCGATTGGGCTGGATGTTCTTCTCATCTGACTGAATCGGGATTACTGACAAATTCGGGCGTTGTGATCATGATTATGAGTAAATTACCTTATCTTAGCTACGACGAACAAAAAAGAAAAACCATACGCAAAGCGTTCGTGACAACCTGCATATTCTACGGCGAGGGTTCAGAAGTCACAAGGAACGTTTAGTAGCCGAAGCGCTCCTGATGAACGCTGAACATGCGGCAATCAATAGATCCTATGGGACAGTCATTCCACACTGATGGCAACAACTGATACTTGTGCATTCACAATACACTCCACCTCACCCCCATTACCAACTGACCAATTCACACGTTTTCTACTAAAGATCAAACCGATTTCACTCGTCCCACTCACCTCCAGAACAATCACTAATACACACAAATTATCAAATAATATCAGACTTGTACAGGATGTCGTCATCCCACCGCATCACAATTCGTTGTAACGCGTAAGCTTCAGGGATGAGATGTTGTCATCAACGCCTTGTGTTTTGATTTTACTCGTTCGTTGTGGCTAAGACAAGCTAAGTTCCTCAATAAAAAGCGCAACTTTGGTTCCGTACATCACATTTGTTTATAATGCGTTGGATTCCTTGGTCTTGGTTACAGTTAGTTTCGGATATACCGATTGACTGCAAAAACGGGCTCTTATGAGTTAACTTGAACAGTGATTGTAAAGCGTTATGTGCTAGGTGTCAACCAGATTGCGTTTGTGCCATGTGCATTCAGCAGTATTTAAGGAGAGGATTTATTTTTCAATAGTACTGGCCAAGACAGACTCTCAAATACATTATGTAACAATTCCGACCGAATAAATGGCCACCTCGAAGCTGACCGAGTACTACTCCTGAGATGAAAATTCGCAACTTAATTGGTAAGTTCACTGATTTTCCTTGTGGGTTATCGGTAAGTCCAAGCAAAGACCTCTAAGTGAGAGTTAGATGCATTTTTTTGCTTATCCTATACTATTGTTGTCCTGGATGTGAATATATGATAAAGTCTCTAGGTGTTTTAAACCTCATGAGAAGATTTACGAAACTCTTTGGGATGCCAGAGCTTTTAATGAATGTAAAACACTGTCTGCTGAATGCTGTATTTATAGTATGATAAGATGTCTAATTTTGACATTTGCAATACTATATAGACAATATTGATCTAACTGTGGCTAGGTTAAACAGAAAAAAATCATTGTGTTTCTGTCAATATTCGCATAATGATAGTTTAATGAGTGAACAGATTGAATACAACTCTTCGGCAAGCCAGAATGCAAGGATTCAGTCATCCGGCGAAAGCAACAAACTCAGTGTATACTCAGTGTAGAAATGCCTGGATCCTATATGTCTGTTCATCTCTCTATTTAATTATTTATCCATCTTCATAAATTCTCAAGATTGGACTCTCGCTGGTTCGCTACCCGGTTCCAAGAAGAGATTGCTGAAAGATAAATAGACCTTTATACCTGAGAATAACTGTTATTTTATCCCTAATGAAACGTTCTCCTTTTTATCTAGACTGGACTCAACGTGATCTATAGGTATACTTTTCATGGAANCATATCCAGTGGATATATATATATATTTCGTCACAATAATCTTGTTTACAACACCGGGCGACCATTGGATAGACAGCTGTTTCAGAGCCAGTTCAATGAGGAATCGATGCTATACTTCGATGTTCTGTAAGTGGGTTAGATGCTACCAACCGCAATAATGCATGCCTGACGAGCGGCAAGAACCGCGAAACCAGTCGTGTGCTTCCAGGGAAATTTTATCCATTTACATATCATTTACATACTACTTATTATCAAATATTCTACCAAGACCATCATATCACGTTTGTTGCGGTTGGTGGTATCTAACCCACTCACAAAACATCGAATCATAGCGTTGATTCTTCATTAAACGGACTCTGAATATATATATATATATATATATATATATATAGA